ATATATATATATTTCTTTTTAATAACGATCGATAAAAGAAGTAATTACACTGTTCGGCTTTCGAAAAATAACAACAAAGGGTTTAGTTAACTTTTATGTTAATTGATTTAGTGCCACATATGGATACGTGGCGTTAAAAACTAGGACTGTGGACGTAGATGAATCTCGGGTTTATGAAGAATTGCTCTACTTCTCGAGTAATTCTCAACGTAACTGGCCTTCTGCGGAGAAGGTATACGCCATTTCATGGCTTAACAATCTTAAGAACATTTTTTACTGAAAGAATATCAGCCATCATTGTATCCTTCCCTCTCACAAATGCAGCCTCTTCAATCTATAAATAGTAAATGATCCAAAGCACGAATCAAAACATTCTTAAATACATAAACAAGATGTTATGATACAATTTAAAACTCAAATTTGCCCCAGCTTTGTTTCATTTATACAAATTTACTATTCTAGGAAACATTATAATTATAAGTTACATTTATTCTAAGAAAGGCTATTTTTAAAAATATTGAAAATCTTTATTATGCATGGTATATCTTTTATATAGATGGATTTTTATTATGCATGGTATATTTTTGATGTAAACGGATATTTCTGTGTGAAAGAGGCTCTATTTCAGGATCTTTATTGTGCTTTATGAAGCACAAAAATTTTTTAATGATATTTTTTCCGAAATATGTATACACATACACGAATATTATATATCATTAAATAACATGTTGATGCATTAAAATTAAATTATATATATCATCTATGTGATACAATGGTGGCATTATTTTATTCTTCAGATTGAAGTTAGATATCGATCGCAGTTATCATCAGTGGCAGACCTTATAATTGTGCTGTATTATGATTTGATTTTTGTCGAGAACTTACCAATTCCCATCAATATGCATGTCATAGTGCATGGCCGTATTTTTTTTGTGTTTTTATGCTAAAGCCGCGAAGATGAAGGTCGTCGCAGGATATTTAGGAGACGCGAAGGCGACGAAACAGGTGGCGGAGGAGATAATGAGGATCCAGTCGGCGAGGAGGACGGGTATGGAGCTTTTTGCAGCCACGCACAGAGTGAAGAAATTTATCAGGACCTCTGTAGTCTACATTTACCACCACCTCCGTCAGTTGCGCAGGTCATCATTGTTTGTCCTTATTTCTCTTTTGTTTTCTTATAATTTTTTATATTATAAAATATCCTCAAACTTTCCTTTCGATCATCGTTTGAAGTACTTGAAGGAGACGCAGCTAATCAGAAAGATCTTGTATTAAAATATTGTATGCAGAAATATTATATGAATGTATTCAGTATTTAATCTTAGTGTTGAGTCCATAGGAAAGTGAATTTATTATTACCGCATTCATATATGATTAATTTTGTTATTCACCATGCGCTCTGCTTTACACCTTGCATACTACTTTATAATTTGCACAAAAGCGTTTCTATTCATCGAGATAATTTCCGTGCAACAGAGTAGTGCCATTTCTGGAGGAGAGAAAAGAGATTACGTAATCCAGGAACTCGTGGAAACCGAGCGAAATTATACAGAGGTTCTCAGTAACCTACTTAGACAATTCGTCCGACCATTGTCGTCGTTACTCCGACCCGAAGATTCCGCCCGCATTTTCTTCGCTATCAAGCAACTCTCAGAGATTCATGTGGGCTTCCACAGTCAGCTACGTAAGGCGCGAAACGGCGCCGCAATCGCCCAAGTCTTCCTCGACTGGCGGGAGAAGTTCCTCATTTACGGCGATTACTGCGCAAATCTCACCCTAGCACAATATACTCTGCAGGAAGCCTGCTCGCGTAACGAAATAGTCAATCAAGAAGTTGTCGTAAGTTTCATAATGCAAGTCGTGAACGACTTTAGATTAAACGATCAAAGAAAATTAAAAGCTTTACATTCAGTCCTTTTATAAGAAAAAAGAAGTCAATATTTTGCCAAATTTAGTGCGATATAATCTCTAAAAATTTCTGCCATAAGAAATTAGTAATTGATTAAAGAAGGTAATTTGAGCTATTTTAATAATGATATATTTTGCAGAGGTGTGAGCAAGAAGCTAACAGTAATAAATTTAAGCTGAGCGATATACTATCTGTGCCGATGCAGAGGGTGCTCAAGTATCACTTGCTATTGGATAAGTTAGTAGAGGAAACTCCTCGCGAGTGGATAGAGGATTTCCGCGCATTGGCAAAGGCGAGGGAAGTGATGGTCGATGTTGCTCAATACATAAATGAAGTAAAACGCGATTCTGACACGCTGGACATCATAAAGGACATCCAAGCATCGATAATTGACTGGGATGTTCCTGAAGACGCGCAGCTGAAGGATTTCGGCCGATTACTTCGTGACGGCGAGCTTAAGGTTTGCCTAATATATTTTTAAATAAAAATGTACATTTAGTTTGTTAATTTCCAAGAAAACGTTGCAATAGACTTAAAATTAACTTAATATGGAACCGTGGCTAATTCAGTTTTTCTGCAGGTGAAAGCTCATGGCGACCAACGGATAAAAGCCCGTTATGCATTCGTATTCGAGCAAGTGGTATTGATTTGCAAAGCTGGCAGAGGAGACCAATATTGTTACCGGGAAACTCTACGATTAGATGACTATAGACTGGAAGATCACATAGGACGCCGAACTTTAGGCAGAGATTCACGTTGGTCCTATCAGTGGCTACTTGTACATAAGCAAGCATACACGGCATATACTTTATATGCGAGAACAGAAGAACAGAAGCAGATGTGGATAAAGGCATTGCAGGATGCGATGGATAATGTTAATCCCGCAGCTTGTCGAAATACCAATCATAAATTCAAGTTAACGACATTTGATACTCCTAAAAGCTGTCAACGATGTGGAAAATTCCTTAAAGGCCGCATATTCCAGGTAATAATTAGCTAATGACATATTTATAGTTTTTGCACTATCAACTACTTATAATTGTACGAAGAATATACAATTCAAACGTGTAAAATTTATGCTAAAAATTATATATAGATAATAAGATATAGAATTACAATTTTTAGAATTTACATTTCAATTTAAAGAATTAAAATGCTTTAAAGTTATAAAAAAAATGTGCAATGTATAGATCAATAACTTTTGCAATTTTATTTCTTGATCTCTCTCAAAATATCAGAAAATCCAAATCACAATTTTAATCGAGTGTTGTATCATACAGGGTTACAAATGCGAGACATGTCGCCTTGCCGTACACAAGCAGTGTATCGCGCACTCGGGTCGTTGTATGCCCACGCCGACGTCGCCGACACCGCCACCACCACTACCCTGCGAACGTGCGCTCGCCGCGAAATTATGGTTCGTCGGGGAGATGGGCAGAGATGCAGCTTCCAATAAATTGGAATCCCGCGACGATGGCACTTACATGCTGCGCGTTCGTCCAACTGGACAACCACGTCTCAAACATGAAACCAATTATGCCCTTAGTATCAAGTAAGCTTGAACGACAAAAAATTTCTTTGTTTTAGGAAAATTTAACTCTAGTTTTTTATACATTCATTTCTATATTATACTTGACAATAAGCTATATTGGAAATATTTAGATCATTTATATATAATTGTGTCGTTGAATTTTGATATTGATTGAATATTTTAAATATATAAATTGTATCAAAATATTTAGAAAAAAAAATTTATAAAAAACTTTTCCCCTTGATATTTAAAACAATAAAACAGATTAAAGAACAATTGAGAGTAACAATACGGTAATTAGCAAAAGATATGCAAAAGATTTTCAATAAAGGATATATTTACTTCATAATTGGGTCCAACAGAAAAATCGTATATTTTGGTTTCAAACCTTCAGCGATATACAATTATTTCCACATTAATAGATATATTCCGAATATCTATCAGGTCTGAAAATGGCTTAAATAAAGCTGAAACGTTTTTTTCTGTTGAACACAACTATGAAATAAAAAATATTTAGAATTAAACATTTTTTTTCTAATTTTATTTATTTTACTTAAATTTTCTGAAGCCTTTCATTAAATATTATATTTTTTCAGAGCGGAAGGGGCAGTAAAACATATCCGAGTATTCAAACGTGATGTAGACGGAGCGGATTTGTACTATCTCAGCGAGTCCCGATTTTTCAAGAGCGTTGTTGAATTGGTCGAATATTACGAGCGGGCATCACTCTCAGAGAACTTCGAGAAATTAGATCAACGTCTATTATGGCCCTACCGGCGTGTCTTGGCCAAGGCATTGTTCGACTTCCGCGGCTGCGAACGCAATCAATTAAGCTTACGACGTGGTTGTCGAGTCGTGGTGTTGAGCAAAGAAGGTGATGCCAAAGGATGGTGGAAAGGTAAAATAGGCGATCAAATAGGATTCTTTCCAAAAGAGTATGTGGAGGAGGAATAGGATTATTAAGAATGAATTAGTTATTATATCGGTGTATATAATGTCGGATTTTAAAGTTCCCGATTAGATGTCTTTTATGTGTGACCATCGATTATTATATATTTTGATAAAATATCGACACAATTCTTTTACGAAGTTGTATCCTTATGTAAATTTAAATTATCAAGTTTTATAAAAATTGATAAAAATTTCTAAAATATATTTCTGTAGAAGATACGTATATATTATTTGATATTTTTTTTAATCATGTGACGTTTATGATAAAAATTTTACACTCAGAAAGAGACACATCGATCTTCTGGATAACTATTAATTGAACTTTACAACATGAAAAATGTTAAACTGAAAGTAAAACGTAAAAATACAATATACAAAGTTGGATATAATTTAAATCATATTATTATAAATCTTTTTTTATATCTTTTTTGGAACTATAAAACCGACATTTTATATGCAACGATCTAATTTGTTGACCATTCGATGGCTGATAAACATCGTGGTAATCATTTTACATTGCAATCATAATATCGACGCATACCTCAATAGAAAAGGATAAGAAGACGAGTTTATTCACGAGGCATTTTTGCGTTGTATAAAAAAATATAGGTAAATATATGCACAACTTGCATAGCGCACGCACAACTTCGATCACTCAGAGAAAGGTTTCTTCAATTAAAAAAAAATGTTTCTTTGCTATATATAGTTAAATGAAAATTTTCTTTGATTTGAACATAATTTCTTTAAATCAAATAAATTTTATTTGATTTAAAAAAATAATGTTTAAATCAAAAAAATTTTTTCTTTAACTGTATAGCAAAGAAACATTTCTTTGAATTGAAAAAACCTTTCTCTGGGCGATGCTACTGTTCTATTGTGTTTAATAAGATCCGAACGCATAATGTCGATGTATGTCTGGCGCTTCACTTAGACAATTTTTTTCTTTAACTGTATAGCAAAGAAACATTTCTTCGAATTGAAAAAACCTTTCTCTGGGCGATGCTACTGTTCTATTGTGTTTAATAAGATCCGAACGCATAATGTCGATGTATGTCTGGCGCTTCACTTAGACAACTTAGAAAAATATTGTTAGCTACGTGTATAGAATTATAAAGATAATTGCGTAAATATATATATGTATATTTTATATATATATTTTACTGCGATGCGGCATTCCTGATTATCGTTAGGCGATGATATCATAAAGACTAAAGTTGTTTGTCTGAAAATGCACGTGATTTAGAAAAATATAAGTGCCTACAAAATGCCCTAAAAAGATAGGAACTGGTTTGTTTTCTTTGAGAATTAAATTTTTCTTAAAGAAAATTAAAAGAAGAGAAACATTATACCAAAGAATTAACATCTTTATAGATGCATAGTTCTCCACTTCAACTTTAACAAAAAGTGAATTTTTCGTTTGAAAGATGTATCTGCTATCGATCCTTTTTTTTTCATTTTTTATGGGCATATTCTATGGCGATCTGTATCTTGCCGACAACTTTTTTCTTTATGATTAAATTTCAGAGTCAATTGCCAGATATTAATTGTACATAATCCTATCCGTACAATTAATAAAAAGTATTTCTAGTTATATTTAAATTGCGAACAAATGCGTACACAAATTGTATACAGGGTGTTCGGTAATTAGAAAACAAAGAGAGCAATTTCTCATTGTAGAATAAGATCGTTAAGTATGTAACGTAAATTTGCATAAATTATATTCATTTCGAGTTGTTAATTATGTATCGAAGAACCAGCATTTATTTTGCAAATGTTTGATGTTATTATTCTTGATAATATCCTACAGATGTCTATTAATTAACTTTTATAATATTGTATATATTTAGATAAAATGTAATTATATGTAAATTTTTCTGATTGTTGTTTGGAGTAACAAGTTATAAGTCTACGAAAGAAATGCTGCCTAACAACATTAATTTATAGTAAGCTCAATTAGTGCCAATCAAAATTCTATCAAAATGGATAGAATAGTAATATTTAGGTATTAAGCCTAAGAAAAACATACACCAAATTTTATTAAGCCTGTAAAATACTGTTATTCCAAGCACCCAAATTGATGAATTATAAAAAAATTTATTCGAAAAAATTGAGAAATTATTCTCTTTTTACTAGATATATTGCTAATTATATCGAACAACTATATATAGATAACAATAAGAAATTCTATCAATAAAGGATCTTATCGAGATGTTATATAAATGCTTACACAATGTGTCTCATCAGTATTATTACTTTTATT